TCTTTGATGTGATAAGTAGATTTCTGAGTTTCCATGAAATAAAAATGTGGGTGTCAGATATTGATTACATGAAGTTATTAATATCAGTAATGAAAATAATAATTACAAGAGAGCTGCTAATACTGAGAATATGTATAATAATATAAATATATATATATAATATATATAAATATATGACTTTTGTACGATTTCATGAAGTCATCAGTAATTACCGACGTCTCCGTGAAGAACTTGAGTTCACTCCCTCTCATAAAGTGCTTTTGTGATATACTACTAAGGCCTGTATGGACCTGTGCAGCTGCTCTCACTACGCCGGAGCAGCACCAGCAAGAACTGCCCTCGTGCAACGCGGCCAGAACCTCGTGCATATCCCCTATCACCTTCCCGAGGCCCAGGTGCAGCAGGACTTGTGGACAGTGGTGAAGTGAGACCTGTCTTGTGATATAACACAGTTCATTCTCTCTGCCTGAGGACACTGGCTGTGCACACACGCAGAGAGAGACAGGAGTGTTACGGCGGTAGTTTCAGTGCCTCGGAGCCATTAACCACCACGTAAGGCCCGTTCGGTGCCACAAACACACACACACACACATACACGCACACAAACACAGACACAACGCGTGGGCCTCCCTCGGCGCCTGCCACTGTTAACGAAGCATGTCGCCCTAGGTTTATATAAACAAGTTATGGTGTATCATGCCCCACTTGGTCCTTACCCACTCCTTGGCGCTCTTGGCTGCTGGCTTCAGTAATCCCTCACACCCGGAGCACTGTTAGTTCACGCCTTAACTTGAATTTTGTACAATCTTGTGGGAGGGCACAAGAGGGACCGGTAGCAGCAAAGCCAAGACGCCATTATCATCCTCTCCTACCACCTCATCTTTCCATCTATCAGCTCAGGGACATGATTCACCAGGAACACCTCCTCCCCTCACCACCTCCCCCACCCCCAAAAAAAATAAAGAGTTTCGTGTGTAAGAAGCCTCAAGCCTATATGTTCATCGCTTTGTACCGCTTGAAGATATATAGCATATGCTAATGGTAATAACTAGAGTACTTTGCGTTACCAGTCATGAGTAACACAAAAACTTGGCGCGGAAAGTTCGGGATATACGCGGTCACTATTTCTCTACATGTTACTTCGCCGCCTGACCCTGACCAGACCAAACTAGGCAACCATGTAACACTTCACGCCTCCTGCTTTCATGTAGGGAGGACTCATTCAAATTATATTATCAAAGAGTAACGCTGTAAACAAAAATCGAACCTAAGACTATTTTGTAATATTAGCCCTGGATTGGTCCTATATGTATGTGTGTGTGTGAATTTATATATACATATATATATATATAATATATATATATATATATATATATATATATATATATATATATATATATATATTATATATATAATTATATATATAATATTATATATAACATATATATATATAAATATATATATATAATATATATATATATATATATATATATATATATATATATATATATATATATATATATATATATATATATATATATATATATATATATAATATATATATATATATTATATATATATAACATATATTGTACATCAAGGAGTACTGGAGGTAGCAACTATTAACTGCAACATAATAGTCCACGATTAGGTGTTAGTACTGGAACCATTTCTGTTATTCCTGCTACGCTGAGGTAGACCCTAACTGGTGACCTAGACTCACTTTTCATACAATTCCCCATGTCACTGGATCCCTGCTTATGTGCTCTATATTCCTATCTTTTTACACGGAAGTTCACTACGGAATGAATGTAGCGCTGTGAAAATCAAGAGTACAACAGGACCAGAAATTGGAACCACTTAACCGCCGCATGTTGCCAAGCCACAGACAGGTATAAGATTTCAGAGATGGATTATGGTAGGGTTTACCTGGTGCATGCAAGGCAGATATTTAACCGCAGTCCCTGTTGCAGTTTGCCATTTTCAAAGTGATACGTTCACCTTAATATGAATTCCGCTCAGTAATGATAGGACAGTAAGACATAACAGATACTATAATATTATGTCCATGTGTGGCAAGTGGAATAAGAAACAGCGAGAATTGGAGCTTAAGTTAGGGTCTAATTCAGTCCATTTAGAGCAACAGAAAAACTGTTACCAAATGTTAAACCTGTGGATGGTATCAGTAGTAATGAAATTGGAGAGTCGTATTGTAATGGTCCTCAGCTCGGTCTCCGTGGTACTCTTTGAATATCAATGTTTTCCATGCACACTACTGTAAATTTCAGTTTATACTAGCATACACACACACACACACACACACACACACACACACACACACACACACACACACATATATATATATATATATATATATATTATATATATATATATATATATATACTCAGACACATATTTATACACACGCATACACACACACACACACATACATACACATATATATATATATATATGTATATATATATATATATATATATAT